CCCTCCCTCCCTCCCTCCCTCCCTCCTCTCCCTCCCTCCTATGTTCCCTGCTTGCCTGCGGTTGAAACTGTCTCTCTGTTCCTCTGCTGGCAAGAGTTAGCAGAGCTCCTAGGTGGCAGGTTTCATTTTTGCGTCATGAACATCGTAGGGATGTTTTCTCTCACTAGCGATTGCTTTTTTTCTCCTCTTTTTTTTTTTTGTTTCCTTTTGTTTCTTTTCCTACTACTAATCCTAAATGGAAAAGTGGGCCACACCTCAGGTGACCTGGTGGGCCAGGCAGGCCATCAGGCCTCCTCTTCCCCTCCTTCCTCACCTTCCTCTCCCTCCCCTTCCCCCTCTCCCTTCTTTGGTGCAGAACTCCTAAATGCATACAAATGAGCATCACTAGGAGAACAGAGAAAATATAAGGTGCAGGTGTGCTGAAAGGCAAATGGGTGTGTGCACACACTCCACATGCAAGTAACAGATGTGGTGGACGGTGCACCTCTCAGAATACAACAATGGAATGACCGTTTCATAAAAATCGTTCAATTACGAGAACATTACAAATCTGAAAACGTTAAAATTATAAAAACATCACAATCATACAAAAGATGGTGAGGTTACCTCCCTTCTATTTTGGATCCTACTCATCCGGGTGGAAAAGGGCTTGTTCTGGTGACAGTCTAGAACACATCTCTATAGAGGGGCCGAAAGTGCACGAAGTATTTAACTGTGGATGTCACGCCACTGTGTTCCTTGCAGGTGGAACCCATGTTGCTTGTGATATCTGTCTGTGCCCGGCCCCGCCCCGCTTTGGAGGCTGCCGATTCGATTTATCTACAGCACCCCGCCCCGCCCCGCCCCACCCGGCGGCGAAGTTCAGTGGCGACGAGTTCTTTCTGTGGCTGGGGCCGTGTACTGGTCGTTTAAACCACCAGTACGCTTCCCAGCCATTTTTTCAATCTTGCAGTTTGCATGCTCTTGCAACTTCCGGGGCTCGGCCTCTGGAGCAAAATGACTGGTGTCGCCAGCCAAAAGGAGGCCCACACGGGCTCATTTCTTTTTGGCACGCTGCGTGTTTCCAGCCCCTGAGAAAAGTGCCTGAGAAGTACTGGTGGTTTAAACTGCCAACTGCCTTTCACGTCAGTCTCTGGCAGCCTGCTGTGCCGGTGGGCTCTTTCTTGCCCTTTTTCACTCTCGCCCCCTTTCTTCCATGTTTCCCTTCCCACCTCCTTCCCTTCCCACCTTCTCTTGTCCCTCTCTTCCCGTGGAGAGATGCTAAATGCATGTGAATGAGAATCACTAAGGGCATACTCAATGTAGCTCTATCTGAAATGTGTGTTTGACCGCATTTACAGCCGGACCTGGATGCATCTGACCACAATTACGCCCGTAAAAAAAGTAAAAAACTCCTAGTGTGACTATGCCCTAAGAGAACAGAAAGTACACGCTAAGGTGTGCTTTTAAAAAAATTGTTTTTTTTTTTTTTTTTTTTTTTTTTTTTGGTTTGCCATTCGGAACATTTTTCGATTTGTGTGTGTTATGCTTGCACAGGCGCAATCCCTTAAAATTGGAACGAGACAGCTGCAAGTGCGCTGAAAAGCAAACCGGTGTGTGTACACTGTCTGCTCAAGTAAACACATGGGAGGCCTTTCACCACTAAAAAGGCAACAGCGAAACAGGCATTTTGCGAAAACATCATTACCAAAAATATCATATGGTAAGATCACATGGTGACGCTGTTCCAATTAGGATAACTATGCTTAAAAGTTCATAAATCTGTTCAGCTGGATGGGAAAAAGGGGTTGGTATGGTGATTTTTTATAACAATCAATGCTAATATATGAGCTCTTTTAATAGCTATAGTCATAGCACGTTGTTGTTTTGATGTAAGTCGGTTCACTCTCTTTGAAGGAAATTTTCCTTGTTCACTCACAAAATAGAGTAAGTTATTGGCGCGCACACACACACACACACACACACACACACACACACACACACACACACACACACACACACACTCACACGGGGCTGTGGGCAGCTGCCGCTCAAGCGGCTCAACCACAATCAACGTGGGCAGCCTTGTACGTGCGAGGCACATAGTAAAAGAGGAGCTGTTGCCCCAAAGAAACCCCAACTAAGCACAATTCAAAATGGTTCAATTATGATTCATGTTGCTTGCTAAAGAGGTGAATTCTTTAGTTGTTGGGCTGGCTCAACTCAAATCTGCTTGTCTGGGTGGAATAGGGGCTGTTGCGGTGGAAACTTACAACACACACACACACACACACACACACACACACACACACACACACACACACAGAGTTTAAGCTGTTGAAACGCAGGTGCAGAGACTGCTGGGACTGGAACGAGCCTCACCCTGCCATGCAGCTGGCGACGCCAGATGATCTCATTGTGCTACACTGAGGTCACTGTGGGTACTACACCATTTATGCGTGTCTCCTTGCTTATTATTGCATCCCCTACCCTGTCTCCTGCTCGACATTGCCCGCTGGATGGAAGCAGAGCACCGTGCTGGATGGAAGCAGAGCACAGTACTTGTTTGCCCAGAGGATGACTGTGCTGCAATGCCATCCCGCTCCACCGGATTATGTGCCTGACATGGACTCGTGTATCCGTGCGAATATCCTTGGTCGGCCGGGTCACTTCCAGTGCTATTACCTTGTGGACATAATGGCTGAAGGGTGCACTCGCTGGGTCGTATTACCCGACGGTATCACCACGTGGTGCAGTCCCACTCGTTCTGGCTCGGTAATCGGGAACAATACGCAGTTGCATGGTCACACACCTTTGAGAAGGTGAAACTCTGTCGCTTTTCGGGGACAAACTGGCTGACCCTCCCCCCTCCCCTCCACCTGGTAGGGCTGTGCCACTTCCCTGTGGGGATCGGAAGGATGCCGCCACTGATGCTGAGGACCCGTATCAGAGTGCAATGACTGTGCCATGCTGTGGTGTGGACATACAAGAACAGTCTGTTTAGAATGGGCACAACATAATTCTGCTCACATCACTATGAAGGGATGACCACTACCAGCCTCTGCCTTCATTCCCCGCCCTGCTGATTAGTTACCCAATACGCCGTTGTGGCGTTGACATGTCGTGCTTGAATAACTATGAGCGCGGTCGGCTTTCCTGGTGGCATGGCAGCAATATGCCATGTGTCGCCAAGGTCTCCAGGAAGCTGTCATGGAGAGTATGTGTCTTTGCTCCGAGGACCATCCCGGATGCCACCACTGGCCACGTGCTCTCCTTTCATATCCTACATGGAACGCTGCACTTCCTGCGGCCGTACCTCTAATTGAACCCTCCCCATCCTTGGCAGACGAGCAACAGGCACAGATGGCTGAAGCAGAAGATACACTCTTGCATGAACCACCTGTAGTGCGCTGCGCTGAAAGGTTATTGCTTCCAGGCGAGCATACTCTCACGTGAACCACCGGCACTATGATGTGCCATACGGTTCCTCTCTCCACAGCTCTTCTCTGCCCTCCAGTCCTTTCCTCCTCTATCACCCTCCTCCGCTCCCCTTCCCCTCCTCCCCGCGTCAAACTAGTAAATGCATACGGAGTAGCATCGCTCAGAGGACTCACAAAATGTAAGGTGCAGGTGTGCAGAAAGGCAAACGGGTGTGTACGCATCCCATGCGCAAGTACGCTAGTGGTGGGCCTTGCACCATTCAGAACACGACAGCGAAATGGCCATTTCATCAGAACATCACATTAGTCAAAAGATTCAAAACATGACAATCATTGAGCTACATACAAGACTTTAAGCCTTTAAGGTAAGGCGTCTCAATTTTGGATCTTCGGGTGACAGTACACACACAACAGGGAGGTTTAGCTGAAGTTGTCGGACCACAGGGTTTCAAATTTGGACCGAGGTGCAGTCCTTGAAGGACCTAGCAGATGAGTTGCCAATGGGGTAACTCGGTCCCTTCACATTTTTTGTGACTTGTTTTTTTCTATCCTGGCTTTCTGTCCTGGCTTTCTATCCCGGCTTTATATCCTGGCTCACGTTCTGCCTCAAAAACTTGTCAGTATCAAAAGAGGTACGACTTAACAACTGAGGTACCACCACCCTAGTCCAGAGTGGTGCTGTGGCAGGCCCACGCTCTACCTGTTTGGTAATCAGGGCCCAGTGCCCGGGGCAATACGTAAAACCCTGGATAACAAGGGCCTCCTGGCCCTCTCGCAGGGTGTGGAGAAGCCTGGCCACCTTTTCATACTAGCTGAACTCTTTCTCCTTCTCGGGGCACTGCTAGAGTTGTGCTTGTAATTCAACAAACCATTGAGATTTGAAACCAAGTAATAATAATCGTTAAATAACGACAAGAAAAGTTATGTGGCTGATTGCTTTTTCCTTGTGCTGGTGGGTGCAGATAGTGGAACATCTTGCAGATCTTGAATCTCCGTGGAATTGCCCGCATGGACGGCCTACAATGCGCCACCTAGTGGATCTGTCGACAGTCAAGCGTAGCTGTGGATCTGATGTCTGCAGCACGTGGACTTGATGCTGACCAGGTGAAGTCATTTGCATCGACCGTCCCTTCTACCAAATAATTGCGATTTCAGAGGCACACCTAGTGCAGGATGGCATGACGCAGTCCACCTTAAGAGATGCAAGGTCACACTTACATGATCTTAACTCATCTGAATTGATAGTGTTGTGGGGCTAGCTGGATGCACACCTTTCTCTGCAGTTGTTATGCCTCTCTCACATTGAGCTGTACAGTCCTCTTTCAGGTACGACTCCAGAATCGCTCTTGTTCAGTTCCAGTATGAGACGTTAGGGGTGCTACCGTCTTTCCCCGTATGGTCATTATGGCTGCATCTAGACTGAAAGGTATGCCAAACGCTGCTATAGTGACCGTACGTTCTTTTTGGGGAAAGATGGTAGACCTGTGAATCACACTCTTGAAGTTGGGTGCTGTATTTTTTTACCAGGGCCTACTTCATGTCCCTCACGTCTCACTTTCCTTTGTTCTGTTCCAGGATAAGATGCTAGGGTACTAGAAAGATGCTAGGGTACTACTAGAAAGATGCTAGGGTACTATACTTTTTGAGTTACTTTCTTGGAGTTAGTGTGATGTGATATTTCTTTCAGGGGCTTATTTGTTTCCTTGACATCCATACACCATGTTCTTTAAAAGTTTTTTCTTTTTTTTTTAAGAGGCTTTAGGGTAGCAAATTTGTACATGTGTTGGATTACGGATTTAGTTACAGGCCCAAATGCAGTCCATGTCTGGACATGTTTCCGTCCAGATATGGAATTGTACTTCGTCGAACTTTTGTTGGCGGTGCAGCAGCCTTGGTTTGAGGAATTTTTATGTGCAATAGGGCATCGAAAAGGATGTAGTTGAACCGTTGAAGACATAAGGGAATTGGTCAAGCTCAGGACGGCGGAAGAGTAGAAGCTTGAGTTGTCCCGCAGATTGGGATAAAGTAGAAATCTTTCAAATTTGAATTATGAAATGCTCTGCTTTGGTCAACTTCCAATTAAAAAGCTCACAAATGAAAGAATTGGAAGAAGAAATAAGACAGGAGAGGAAGAGCAAAGAAGAAGAAGAAGAAGAAGAAGAAGAAGAAGAAGAAATAAGACAGGAGAGAAAGAGCAATGAAGAAGAAGAAGAAAAAGAAGAAGAAGAAGAAGAGGAAGAAGAAGAAGAAGAAATAAGACAGGAGAGAAAGAGCAATGAAGAAGAAAAAGAAAAAGAAGAAGAAGATAAACACAAGTTGAACCAATGTCATCTCCCTCTCAACACTCCATCATCATCTTCCCCCTAATCATCATCATCATCATCATCATAATAATAATAATAATAATAATAATAATAATAATAATAATAATAATAAAATGAATGAAACAATAATAATGTAATAAAATAGTATATAGTTAGTAAATAACTAGGCTACCAGCCGGGCTGCCCGGGTCCTGGGTGGCCAGCCCGTGCAAGGACCAAGGAAGGTCCCAGCAAAAAAAAAAAAAAAAAATCCAAAAACTCCAAAAAAAAACTATGTCATGCAGAAAAATAAACTGAACAACTTTTATTTTTTTTAATTTTTTTGGGCCCGTCCGGGCAATGACCCCGGGCCACTCTGGTAGCCTAGATAAATAGTTAATAATAATAATGTAATAAAATAATATATAATTAATAAATAATTAATAATAATAATGTAATAAACCCAGTCATATTGAGAAGCCAATCAGTGTCGTGATACAAGCCCGAACCCAGCAGACAAAATAATGTCTCCAAAATCGATTATATGTCCATGCCCAGCATATGTACACTTTCCCAGAGCATCATAACTTCAGAGAAGAGAATGAGGTAATGGGGAGAAGGGACACAGAGTAGGAGAAGAAGAAGAAGAGTCCCCGTCAATCATGCATTAAGTCTCTTCCTGCGCACTTCCTCCTCGGGCATTATCCCCCGTCCCCACCTCAGCAATGCAGTGTCTCTCTGACATTCTCTGACAGATACAGTGTGCAGGTCACAGCCGGGGGCCCATCCTCCATCCACATCAGCAACCAATCAGGGAGGATGGCACAGGTCTTCCTCACCTTCGTGGAGACAAGCAGCAGATCACGCGTCGCCAGGTAAGTCCAGGTAAGCTTCCCCTCGAACCCTCTCCAGTCTCACAATCTCGATCCTCCTCCTCCTTCTTGCCCAACCTCAACACGCAATGTCTATAGGTATGGCGGCAATGGCCGCTTCAACATAATCTCCCCTGATGATGGTGCCCACCCAGCACAGTGTGTCAGCGAAACGAGAGTTTCACGCTACGGCTCCCGATACTGCCGGGCCCAGTGGACTCGGTCTCTATAGACTTCACGCGCACTAAGGTCAACAGTCGGAGTGGGAAAACTCAAGTACTGGTTATAGTCGATAGGTTTAGTAAGTTTGATGTTTCCGTTCCTTTGCCCGCTGAGGCAAAAACAGATCTTGTTATTCGTTAAGTTCTTTGATCATTTGGTTGCAGAGTATGGACACCCATTCACCACCATTGACCTCCCTTGGCCCTGGCTGTCTTGCCAACTATCTGTTTATTAGAAACAGAAGCAATGTCTCATTTATAATTTTATCCCTACACTTATAGAAATCGCTATTTGGCGCGCAACATTTGGCCGATCCGGGCTGCCCGCGGCCTACCGGCCGACGGCCCGGATCTCCGCGCGATCTTAAGACTTTAAGACTTTAAGACTAAGATTGCGCGGCGATCCAGACCGTCCGCTTTGCCGGACGGCCTGGATCAGCACGCGATCTTAAAGTCTTAAGATCGCGCGGAAATCCGGGCCGTCGGCCCGGTAGGGCCATGGGCGGCCCGGATCGGCTGCCCTACACGACAAACTACTACCGTACGCGACAAACTACTACCGTATGCGACAAACTACTGCCCTACTCGACAAACTGCCCCACGCGACAGAATGCCCTACGCGACAAACTGCCCTACGTACGTCATTCTTGGTACTTTGTGCCCTACGGTCTTGCCTACGCGACCTACTGACTTGCCTATGCCCACCTAGGCGACCTAGGCGACCTACCTACAGTTTCCGCGATCCATGCAACCTGCCTACAGCCTGCCTACCGTAATGCTCTCTCTTTCTCTGTGGATCTCCCTCTCCCTCTCTCTCTTTCCCCCCTCTCTCTTTCTCCCTCTCCCTTCCTTTCTCTCAGTGCTTGGTACTTCGTGCTTGGTACTTCGTGCTTGGTACTTCGTGCTTGGTACTTCGTGGTTGTGCTTGGTTGTGTTTGGTTCGTGCATCGGTGGCACTTTCGTGCTACTTGGTGCTACTGGGTGCATTTGTGCTACTTTGTGCAACTCCCTGCTCGGTTTGGTTTTGGTGCTACGTGCATCAGCGATTGGTTCGTGGGATCCCTGCAACGGTGATAAGTGCATCGTGGAATCGGTGCTTGGTTAAGTCTGGCATAGCCGAACCTTTTTTTATGGAGTTGTGTAAAGCGAACATGATGTCACACGCACGCACGCAGATGCATCTTGGGCAGACTGTTGGGGTTCAACCTCCGACAGAAACAGTCTGGACAGTCATGCTTCCTTTTTGGCGTGCACGAGCGCGCGTGCGCGCGCGCGCGCGAGGGAGAGAGATAGATAGATAGATAGATAGATAGATAGATAGATAGATAGATAGATAGAGAGAGAGAGAGAGAGAGAGAGAGAGAGAGAGAGAGAGAGAGAGAGCACCTGACCATAACAACGCTGACAGATGAAGATGACGAGGAAGATGAAAGATAAGGACCATGAGCATGATTTACGAGGACAAGGTAAGGTAATAATGACATCAATCACCGATTGACGGAATGGAGTGGGTAAGGAAACACAAGCTGCTTCGCGTGGGGAGGGTTAGGGGGGGGAGGGGCGTCACATGTCGCAGCCACGTGGCTGGAT